TTTTTTATCTTTTTAATGCTTCTTTAAAAAGTTCAACGCTAAAATTAAATAAAATTTATTTCAAATTTTAGACAAAAAGTGATGTAGACATACATAGTAGATTTAAAAACTTCGACAGGTATATGCTGTTGTTGCTGTTCATGATTTGGAGCTCGTTTTTAAATCTTCGGTAATTTGGATATTGAATTAATATTTCGTTCAATTATTTTAATATTTATTGCTTCTTGACCTCGTGAAGCTATAAAAAAAAAGAAACTTATTTTTAGTTGTTCCCAAACGGACAGTATCTAGAACTTCAATAGCATCTTCAACATTGACTCTTGAACAACCAAAACCAATTAGTTTATCGTCTTCTGATCGATCAAATAAATGGAATAAATTTGAACAAGAAAAACAGAAACAATTATCTCATGTATCTCAACATACAGATCAATTCACATCAACATCGACAGATTCCAATAATGATCAAACAACAACTGCTGCTCTTCCACATATTGTAGCTTTACCAAGCTCTGCATTGCGTACAACGGCTGTATGTAAACCTTCACTGGATGAGCGTATCTTATCAGAACGAATACAATCAACACATTCAAATATATCAATATTTAAATTCTATCTAGATCAAAAAGAAACAAAATCATCGGTAAGAAAAGAAAAAAAAGAAAAATTTTATTTATTATTTAATATAATCTAAAATCATAGATTGGTCATCATACAAAAGCAACAATGTTTAACATGGATACTCGTCTTAAACAAACACCTTTTCCAAGTCCATCTTTATCATTTTTTACTAAAAATTTCAATGATGGTACACCTGAAATGGATACTGATTCAACAATTACACCTACATTTCAATCACTTGGTTTGCAGAATGATCTTGAAATAGAACGTTTCAATCAATCAGCAAAAGTTCATTCAGATGAAAAACAACAACAACGAAAAGTTTAAATATTCATTATTATCTAATTTATTTAATAACGATTAACATTTTTCTATTAATAGATTCCTCATACTTCATCATTCTCTGATTTATATTCAAATAGCAACAATTCTTTGCAATTTACTTCATCAATTATTATTGATCAACCAAGTTATTCATTGATGGAAAATAGATCAATACAAAATAATCGTCAAGCATTAACATCAATATATAAAAAACCATCATCTCAATTGCTTTATAATCCTTATTCTACAGTAAAATATAATCAAATATTTCAAGAGTATCGTAAGTACTTAAATCAAAAATAATTTATATTGTATAAAAGAAAAATGTTGATCTTTTAGAAAAACCTGATTTGGAAAATTATCGATCACCAGTATTATTCGATATCTTACCAACAACAACAACAACAACAAAACCTAGTCAAAGTATATTAAGAAATGAAAAATTATTTTCTAAACGATAATTTCATCAAAAGAAAAAAAATTAAATTTTTATCAATGAAAGAAATTATTAATTTTATGGTATTGAATACTTCATATCGAATAATATGTGATCATGATACTGATAATTTTCAATGAAAATTATTTACATTGAACTGGGTTTTTTTTTAATATTTTGGATAAAAAAATGACGTATTATACATGATATAATTAAAATATAGTGATTTACTTTGTATAATATCAAACTTAACCAAGTCTGATATAAATAATTTCTGTTGACGTGTTTCATTAACGATCGACGCATCTCTCGCGAAAATATCTTTCGAATCAACATAATCTTTACTAAAGAATATATAAAAGTAATTAATAATTAAAAAAAACATAAAACTAGTTGATTCATACCGTTTTATAAAACTGTAATGTTTCAACCGATTAATTGTTATAACACTACCTGTTACATCTCTTTCTACAATAGAAAAATTTGTTTTATTTTTTATTTATATCAAAAAACAATATTACCAATAATAGCAGCTCGATTATTATTACAATTAGATGATTGAGGTACATCTTTACGAGGTTGTAGAGATGTATTACCACGACCACCTTGTTGAGTTGTATCACGACGACCACCTTGTTGAGATTTATCACGACGATCACCTTGTTCAGATGCATCATTACGACCACCTTGTTCAGATGTATCACGACAATCACCTTGTTCAGATGTATCATCACGACGAGCACCTTGTTCAGATGTATCATCACGACCACCTTGTTGTTTAGTATTATTATGACGAACTGATCGAGTTACACGACCAGTTGGTTCAGTTGTTCTTCGATAAAATAATCGAGTTGCACGACGACGAACGGGTTCACCAACCATTAATTCCGTATATGTTTCTTTTATTAGTTTTAATGAGATATATAGTTTTCTTTTAATCGAAAATGTTGATAAATGATATTCAAAAAAATTTTTTAATACTTTTTCTTTCTTTTGTTTTCTTTGGGTATTTTAATATAACGAGGATTAAGATGATAAAATATTAAATACTCCAATCATCAATTTCAAATTATTTTTTTCAGAAAGTTCATTCTGTTTTCGAGTAAATAAGAACGAAGAATAAGACACAGACAAAGATCTTTATCAAGATATTTTCAGTTATAAATTAAACAGTACATTTAAAAATAAATTTTAATGTATTTTTTTTCTCATTAAACGAGGTACAAATAAAATATGACTTATGTATGAAAATTCTTCTTTATTTGGGTATTGATGCTCGAAAAGAATCATGTGGTTTGCAACGTGTTGGTCATCATATAAGTCATTTAGAATATAAATCACGTTCTTTTAATTTAATACTTGGTCGAGATGTCAATTATTTTGAATTAGATTTTGAATTAGTATGTTATGAAACTCTTTAATCTATATGAATGCAATTTCTTTTAGGAATTTACACATTTCTGGTGATATATGTTATATTGCCCATTATTTTCCATGTACATATTCATATTTAAAAGATGATTTAGAATATTTACCACGAACATGTTCATATGATGTATTTCGTCGAGAAATTTTATGCGAATCATAAGCACAGAATTCATGTTTCTTAATTACAGTTACAAATGTAAATTGGAAATTATATGAATATTATTTTTCTTTGAAAGTTTCTGTTTTCTTTTCCTGCACATCTAAATAATAAAAAGAAATCTGTTTTTGTATGTGCACTAATACATCCTGGTGAAACAAATTCAGGTTTTATGATGTGCAGTGTACTTGAACATATAACATTTAGTGATGAAGAGTTCAAGTGAATTTCAAAAGGATATTAATAATCGAGAAATTTTATTGTTTTCTTTTAAAAATTACGGTCACAATTAGTATTACAATTGTTTCAATGTTAAAACTCAGATGGAGTTATTGTAGACAATTCTTGTTGTTCATCAACAGGAAAAGGTAAAATCGAAAATTCAGACATTCAAGAAAACAAGCATTTCTAATAATTTACCATATGAAAAAATTAATTCATTGGTTACGAAAAAGAACAAAAGAAGTATATAAGTCGGAATGCAACATTAATGGTTTCCATTTTGCTGAAAGAAATATTAATTAAAAATACATTTACGTTACCAGTTTCATCTGCTAGTTCCAGTATTGTATAAGTATTGGTGTTATTTTGAAATTTTAAGTCTTAATTTTCTACAATTTTTTTTCAGAAATATCATCATATTTTAATATGAAAGATTATGAAAAATTTGGACAATATATCTGTCATTCATTAAGACAATAGTAGTTAAATTTTGTATGAAATTCTGCCTAAGATTGAATCAGTTTTGTCGAAAATTTTGTGAATCGATTTAAATATTTATCGACGACTGGACAAAATTTTCTCTCTTACCTTTAGTAAGAAAGATAAGATAATTGGTCGCAGAAATTATTTTAATCATTGAATAAAACAGTTATTATTTACAAAGTAAGAAATACTTTTGCTCAATGTTAAGAAATACGTCCAAAAGACGACAATTGATGTACCCACGAAATAAGTGATATCAAGACTGTCTGTCAATAAATTATTGTTAAACCGTTGCTTATGTTCCACTGCCGTCTATAATATAAACAAATTCTATTTTTGGACCAACTCCTAAACTGCTCATCAACTAGCATCTTAACAATGCTGTTAACTGAACCGGGCACACATCTATCAATTGTTTGTTGATTCCCTATTCCAAAGACACATTTTTACTATTCTTATTACCTTAATCAAAATTTAGAGACAAAAGCCTGTTATCAGGATTAAGGACCCAAGGGTACCCCCATAGTATAGCATATGAGGACCCAAGGGT